GCGAAACAGTTCAGGTACCCTTCCCCGCTCGTCTTAGGATACAGTGACCCTATGGTCACATACACAAATGTCAAAGTTCTATTTCATATGCTTGTTTAGCCTGTAGTGAGTTACTCCTTAAGGGTACAATAATCCTCTCGATACCTATCTTGTCTCGCGCGCCACCCGCTGCCCCTTCCTACCCGCGCGCGACCCGCTCTTCAGCATCGCGCGCCACCCGCTGCCCCTTCCTACCCGCACGCGGCCCGCTCCCCAGCGCCGCGCACCGCCCACTGCCCCCTCCTTCCCGCGCGCTACCCGTTGCCCAGCACCGCGCGCCACTTGCTGCCCCTTCCTACCCGCGCGCGACTCGCTGCCCAGAGCCGCACGCCACCTGCTGCCCCCCTCCTACTCGCGTGCGACCCGCTGCCCAGCGCCGCGCGCCACCCGCTGCCCTCCTGCCCGAGCCGCGCCGCACTGCCCTGACACAGCCGCGCCGCCCTACTGCTCGTGCCGTTCCTGCTGCTACTGCTACTACTGCTGCCACTATGGCATCTCCTACAGTGCTTACCTTTGATGCTGAGGGCCAGCCGATACAGTTTGAGTCCTAGCTAGAGGACCTCCACTTGTACCTCCAGAGTGTAGCTCAGCACGACGTCTCGTTGTTTGAGCATACCTTGGGGTCCCTCCTTGCCCCTGCCAAATCAGCTGACTGTGTAGCTCGCTCCCAGTGGACCACTCGTGACGCTACTGCGGAGATAACTCTGTCAACGGGAGCTAGACTACGGGCTAGGCACGGGTGTGAGAGTGATCTCTGCATTCGTTCCTTAGTCGTTTGCTTGTGCTCTCACTACTTGCTGGTTCACGGGGGAATTTGGCAAGAGTTTCACTAGCAAAGATTGACAATAATGAGGTTCAGAATGATAGCAACAACATTGGCAACCCAGACTACATCAGAGCTAGCTAGGCTGTTGGTCGACCTCCAGCGCAGCATGGTCGACCGCGTTCCAGCGCAGCAAAGCTCGCACCGCTCCAACGCAGCAAAGTGGCGGCTTGCCATCGTTGCAAGTCTACGGTGTGCCAACGCTTCAGCAAGTCGCCTGCACAGTGTTGCACCCGCAGGACAACTGTGCACCTGCTTCGCAGGTGCATGCAGCTGGTTGGTGCTCCACACCTCGTCACGAGCACAGCGCAGACGCCTAGCAGACTCCACGCCAGCGACTGCGCCCACCAGCCACGTCGACCTCGGAATACCACCCCCGAGGTCGCCTTCGCAAAAACCGCTCAACCAACACCAGCCACTGCTCAAACTCCCGCAGCACGTCGGACTTCCTGGCGACCGGCTTCACCCACACGTAGCGGGTCTTGCGGTCCTTCAGCAGCAGGAAGTACAAGCTGCCATCCTTGGCGGCCACACGAAACGGCCCGCACAGGTCGATGTGCACGACGGCCAGGGCGTCCTCAGCGTCCGAGCCCCTGTCAAGGAAAGAGTGCCGCGCTAGCTTCCCGCCGACGCACGAGACGCAGGGTGCAGTGGTGCTGGACGCCGACTTGAGGTCCAGCCCGGTGGCTACCTCGTTCTTCCCCGAGCTCAGGATAGTTTCCATGCCGACTTGCGCGAGCCTCGCGTGCAGCCTGTCCGGCGTCGACTTCGTCGCCGAGACGATTGCCCGCAGGGCCACTTCCTCCGCTGTAGTCGTTGCAGAGCAGGGACGTAGGTCGGTGCAGAGGACCCGGCCGGAGTACATAGCTCGGCCGAGGACGTCGTCGGTTGCCGAGATGAGCAGCATCCCGTTGCCGTCCGCCTGCAGCTTCACGCCGTTCTCTTTCAGCTGACCGGCCGACAGCAGGTTCGCGTGCACGCCTCGGACGTACAGCACGTCGGGAATGAGAACCTACCCGCCTCCAGGCCTCCCCTTGCAGCGCAACCTTGCCCCGTCCCTTGACGTCCTGCAGCGCCCCATTGAAGCCGCGCACGTGTTTAACGTCGCCGCTCGGCTGCATGTCGACGAAGACCTCCTTCGTCCCCATCAGGTGGTGGGAGCAGCCGCTGTCCAGCAAGACCACCGCCGGGTTCGCCTGCACGGCTGCTGCCACCGCCTGGAAATCCTCGCCGGCCTCCGGCGCCAGCGAGACGGTCGGCTCCACGACGCCGACCAGCGAGCACGACGCCTCCCCATAGCCTCGCCCCTCGCCGCTAGCAGAGGAGTCGGCATCCTTCGCCGAGGTCGACTTGTTCGACTGCTTCTCCTTGTGCGGCTGGTTTCCTTGTCGTGGACAACGGCTGGCCGACCTTGGCGTCGTCGTCGGAGTCACTGCGGTTGGGACACTCGAAGGAGAGGTGGTCGGGGTCGCCGCACAGCCAGCATTCCCGGCGTCGCCCTCCTCCTCCACGACCGCTGTCCTTCGCGGACCTACCCTTGTCGGCGTCCTTGGTCGGCTTGCCACCTCCGCTACCACCGCCGCTAGGCTTGCCGCGCTGCCCCGGTCAGCTACCTTGCTTCGCCGGGGCGACGTAGTTCGTCTGCGGCAGGAGCTCCGTGGTCTTCTTGGCCTCCTGCATCGACTCGTCTCGGAAGATGAACGAGGTCAGTGAGTCCTCGTTGAGGGACTCCCTCGTGCCCGGCGCCACCATCAGTCGCTTCATCAGGTTGTAGCCGCTCCGGAGCCCCTTTAGGACATGCGTGATGTAGGACGCCGTGGAGTATTGCATGCCGGCCATCCTCATGGTGGCGAGAAGTCGCCGAGCAAGGTTGCAGTACTCGGTCGCCGTCTCCTGCTCGCCCATCCGCAGGTGCGTCATCTGCTCCTCCAGCTGGCCGATGTACAGGTCGTCGGTGACCTGGTACGTCGACTCGATGAAGCGCCATGCCTGATGACCGGCATCCAGGTAGTCCCTGCACGGCTTCAGGGCGATATGCACTCCCGGCAAGCAGCACCACGAAATGACCATGAAGGTCAGCAGCTGCACAACGCGAAACTCCGCACGCAGGTCGGGGTAGTTCTCCGACGGCGTTGCCACGGTGCCGGCGGCGAAGCCCATCAGCCCGGCCATCTCCAGCTGGGGCTCGATGGCTTCCTTCCAGGTGAGGATGTCGGGGCGACCGACCAGCAGGGGGGTGACCGAGATCCTATCCGGGGTAAACTTTAAGTAGCCGTAGATCGGTGCGATCCCTCCCGCCGTCACGTGAGTCGCCGACATCGGCGCCAATCCGCTTCGTCGGCCTCCGACGTCGCCCTGCGAGGCCCCTGCAGCCGCCGACGACTGCATTCCTCGCGCCTGAACGCCGCCGGCTTCACCGGCGTGTATCACTCCTCTCGGCCTTGACGTGCCTCCCGCACTGCTGCCGACCTGGTCACCGGCGTTGACGCCCACGTCGACACCGGCCGAAGTGTTCGCCGGTCGAGGAGACGCCGGTCGGGAAGGGTGCTCCGTCGCCCACACGGTGCAGATGCCAGCCTCAACGACTCCCCAGGGGAGAGTCTCCCCGTACTCACGGGCTTCATGGCGTCTCCTTGCATCTGTCAGTCGCGCTTCCAGGGTATCCACGACGCCCGTCTCAACTACGGGGTCAACCATGGCATCAAGCACGACCGCTGGTCTACGAACTAGCTACGTAGGTGCAAATTCGGCTAGACTGAAGGTGACGTCGCGGTGACCTCCACGCTCACCGCGCCATGCGGAGATAACTGTGTCAACGGGAGCTGGACTATTGGGCTAGGCACGGGTGTGAGAGTGATCTCTGCATTCGTCCCTTAGCCGTTTGCTTGTGCTCTTACTACTTGCTGGTTCACGGAGGAATTTTGGCAAGAGTTTCACTAGCAAAGATTGACAATAATGAGGTTCGAAATGATAGCAACAACATTGGCAACCCAGACTACATCAGAGCTAGCTAGGCTGTTGGTCGACCTCCAGCGCAGCACGGTCGACCGCGGTCCAGTACAGCATGGTCGACTGCGGTCCAGCGCAGCAAAGTGGCGGCTTGCCAACGTTGTAGGTCTACGGTGTGCAAATGCTGCAGCAAGTCGGTTGCACAGCGTTGCACCCGCAGGACAACGGTGCACCTGCTTCGCAGGTGCGTGCAGCTGGTTGGTGCTCCACACCTCGTCACGAGCACAGCGCAGACGCCTAGCAGACTCCACGCCAGCGACTGCGCCCACCAGCCACGTCGACCTCGAGATACCACCCCCGGGGTCGCCTTCGCAGAAACCATCCTGACGACTTTCGCAAACGTCGCCCGGGTACCCAGGACGACCGGGCAACCCCGCCTGGTCGTCCAGCCCAGTCGGTCGCCGGCTACACCAAACTTGGCGTTCCTTGGTCGGCGTCCTGGCGTCCAGGTCGGCGTCCACTCGCCCAGGACGCCGTCCAGGCGCCCAGGTCGGCGTCCACTCGCCCACGATGCCGTCCAGGCGCCCATGTCGGCGTCCAGGCGCCCGGGACGCCGAGCAGACGCCCAGGTCGGCGTCCAGCCACCCACGACGCCGAGCAGACGCCCAAGGTCGGCGTCCACTCGCTCAGGACGCCGTCCAGGCGCCCAAGTCGGCGTCCAGGCGCCCGGGACATTGAGCAGACGCCCAGGTCGGCGTCCAGCCTCCCAGGACGCCGTGCAGACGCCCAGGACGCCGCCTAGACGCCAAGGACGGCGTCCTTGCAGTGGCCCCCGTACCCACTGCTGCAGGTCGGCTGCACCCCTACACCCGCACACCCGACCGCGAGGTCGGCTCCGCCCAAGCGAGGACGGGGCCAAACACTACTCCCGTTGACAGCTACTGCTGCCCTCACCATCCGTAGCCACCTTCTGCTTGACCAGCATCCCCATTTTCGTCAGCTTAAGATGGTGTAGTCAAGCGTTACTCCTCCCCAGCATCTGCTGCTCTAGGACGCCTCCCACTGCCGTTCCTCTTTCCTAAGCTGTCTGACTTCACCACTGTCGCTGACCTCAATACTTACCTGCGCTCCCTAGACACGCGTTACCACCCGCTCTCGTTTCGAGTTTCTCGCTACAAACCAGCCCCCTATGTACCTCACTCTGTACTTCCTCACCACCCGCCTCCATGACACCCTTCGAGCTATTCGCGATCACTTTCTCGCTCTTGATCCCACCAAGATCACCCTCGACTCGTTTGAGACCCGCCTCTTAAAGGCTGAGTCCGCTGTCCTTGCTGTATCTGCCTCTCGTGGCGCTCCTCTCCCCTCTGCCTTCGAGGGGTGCTCCCTTTCCCTGCTCGTGCCGTCTGTCGCCTCCGCTGCTACGTATGCTACTGAGGAGGTCGGTGCTACGTATGCTCCTAGTGGGACGCACCGCAGCGGTAGGGGCAAGGGCGGCAAGGGCGGGGGTGGTGGTCGTGGTGGGGGTGGCGGGGGCGGCGGCAGTGGTGGTGGTGCTGGTGGTGGTGGTGGTGGGGGAGGAGGCGGTGGCGGCGGCAGTGGAGGCGGAGGGGGTGGTGGGAGCAGTGGGGGTGGTGGCGGAGGTGGGAGTGGCACTTGGGTGGAGCTGCTGGGGGCGGAGCTGGAGGTTTGGCCACGCGCACTGCTTCGTCTGGCGGTGCGGAAGGTGGTGGAGGTGGCTCTGGGGGTGGTCAGCAGCCGCAGCCGGGTCGCCATGTGGCCCTCTCGCCACAACAGCTTCGTGCGTGGGCGATCAGGCGTGGCAGCTCTGGTGGCCCCTCTCCCTGCGGGTACGTCCACCGTACCGGTCACCCTGGTCAGAATTGCAGCCGTACGGACCACGCACTGGCCCGCTGCTTCTGGCGCCTCGATGACCTGTATCGTGAGGAGCATGGTGAGCATGCGTCGTGAGGACCCCATATTGGGTGCAGTTGCTTAAGCATGGCGTCGATATGTTTGCTTGTGATTGGGACGCTATCCATGCTGGCATGTATGCGATGTATGCTGCTTCTGCTAGTGATGAGGGTGACTATTACTCGTGTGTGCCTAGAGTTGCTAGTGTAGAGGCTGGTAGTCTAGGTGCTTTTGACTCCGCTAGCACGGGTGCAGGGCCTGAGGAGGCCCTGCACACTTTCACCCTGGACTCCGGCATGTCTCGCTGCTTCTTCCACGACAGCAACACAGTCACCCCACTCACAGTCCCTGTCCCTGTCGCTCTGGCCCACCCCTTCGGTGGTCCAGTTGTTGCTCGTGGCTCCACGGTTCTCTAGTGTCTAGCAGCCCCCTCCGGGTCCCTCACATGTCTCCACCTCCCCTCGTTCGCCAAGAACTTGGTGGCTACCTCTGTCCTTCAGGACCAGTGGGTTATTGTCACTCAGCCTGGGGGTGAGCGAGTGGTGATCTGTACCGACTCACGCACCGGCGATCACCTAGCCACGTTCACTCGGAGGCCCGGGTCTGGTCTGTACACACTGACCACTGAGTCTGCACAGGTAGCTGAGTCAGGTCAGGTAGCTGCGTCGGTTGAGGTAGCTGTGTCATGTTCGTGTCATCTCCTCACGCACCAGACTCTCCTCTGGCACCACTGCCTTGGTCACCCCTCCCTGCCACGTTCGCGTGGTATGCACTCCCATCTCCTTGTATCTGGTCTCTCCAGGTCCCTGCCCCCGCTCCCCAGGTCGCTTGCACCGCCGTGCCTTCCGTGCGTCGAGGGGCGGCAGCGCGCCGCTCTTCACTCCTCCTTGTTTCCTCCTACCACAGCTCCTCTGTAGACCCTTCACATGGACATGTGAGGCCCCGCCCGCGTCACTTGATCCGCTGGATCCGCGCTGTCCGTCGCGAGCTTAGTGCTTAGTTCCGGCAGGACCTACCGGTTCTGCGGCTGCACTCTGACCGAGGTGGTGAGTTTTGCTCCCGCCTCCTCGATGACTTTTGTGGTGCTGAGGGCATCCGCCAGGAGTTCACGCTTCCGGCCTCTCCGCAGCAAAATGTTGCAGAGCGTTGCATTGGCTTGGTCATAGAGGTTTTTTGCACCTCCATGGTCCATGCGGCTGCTCCCCATTTTCTGTGGCCGTTTGCGGTCCAATTCGCCGCTGCGCAGCTCAACCTCTGGCCCCGTGTCTCCCACCCGGAGACCTCCCCTACTCTCCGGCGGACGGGAGAGGTTGGTGATGCGTCGGTGTTTCGGGTCTGGGGTTCCCTTGCTCTTGTCCGCAATCTTCGCGCAAGCAAATTTTCTCCTCGCAATCTTCGCTGCGTCTTCCTTGGCTTACCTACCGACGCTCCGCCCTGGCAGTTTTACCACCCGGGTTCTCGTCGTGTCCTCTCCCCACTGGACGTCACCTTTTACGAGTCATTCTGTTTCTACCGTCTCCACCCCCACCGTAGTTCCCCCGTGCCCCTCCCGCCTCTCTTCTTGGTACCTGACCCCCCCCCCCGGTAGCCCCCCTCCCCCCCACAGGGTCCTCCTCCCTCAGGTGTGTCTCAGGTAGACCCACCCTCCTGGGTTGAGCCTTTGGAGATCTCCTACGACCCTTCTGGCCCAGCTGAGGGGGGTGACCCGACTGGTGCCGACTCTGTGGCCCCTCGCCGCTCAGCGCGCTTGGCGGCCCCTCCTAGTTTTCCGCCTCGGTCGTCTTCACCGCCTCTCCAGCCAGTCGCTGTGGACTCTCGTGCTCCTGGAGGTGGTGACACTGGGGGTGCGGACTCTGGGGGTGCTGGTTCTGGGGGTGCTGAGTGTCCTACGGGTACAGGAGGAGCTGGCGGTGCTGCAATTGGAGGTGCTGGAGGTGCTGGTGTTGGTGGTACAAGAGTTGGAGGTGCTAAAGGCCCTGGTGCTGGAGACGCTAGTCCTAGCAGTACCGGTGCGCGTCGGCAGGAGACTCTCTCGCCCGAGCGGCTTCGTGAGTGGGCTGACCGATGGGGCAGCCCTGGTGGTGGAGATAGCCGTGCTCGAGCTGGAGGCGCTAGGGCTGGAGGTGCTGGAGGTACTGGAGCTGCTAGTGCTGCATGTGCTACAGCTGGAGGTGCTGGAGGAACTGGAGCTGCTGGTGCTGGAGGTGCTGGAGCTGCTGGTGCTGGAGGTGCTAGCGTTGGAGGTCCCGGAGGTACTGGAGCTGCTGGCTGTTATAGATTAAGGACGGAATCCAGGAAGATTAGATGCCGAAATAGCTCAAAATCGTTGGACCTAATTTCTGGACAGAAACGTCGACTTCACAAGAAACGCCGTCGACAAAAACCGCACCATTAAAACTCCACCAACTTCGGATATGTTGTAGCACTGGACCGTGGCTACAATTCCCAATTTGAATCGTATCAAAAGATGGAGTATAACTCGAGTTATTGATTCTGGCGCACTAGGGGGTAAGCTGCCACAAAAACTTAACTCAATCACAATCGTTCTCACACAAGGAAGTTAGAGTAGCAAGAACCAGGTAGAAGGAAAGAGGAGGACGAGAGGGAAGGTCTGAAGGGAGTCCCCAACCAAGGAAACCCCATAAGCACATCAAATCCCTTCCCTATAGGAAACCCACTTTGACCTTTGTCCATTTCCCAACCCAAGCCATCCACCTCACCCCACTTGGCCACACTTGCCAACCTGGTTTGGTTTCTCCCAACCACTTGGCATCATCTACAGTGATGGTGACGAATTTTCCCAACCCCCAAAAGTCTATACCCCATATTGAGTCACTCCACAAATTCTCATAGTTGTCGCAACCAAATGTGAAAAGCATACGAACTTCGAACGTTCGTAACTTTCTCGTTCGTGCTCCGATTGAAGCGATTCTTGGTTCGACGGAAAGCTCTTGAGCAGAGAAGTCATTTCAGATATTTGCTCAAGCAAAATATCATTCACACATGCTCGGAGAATCCAAACCACACCCAAACAAAAATTCTTGCATACGCTCACACCACGCATGCAACGCACGAACATATGATGGGAGGCAGACAGACGTGAATGCGAATGATAGCATCACACAACACTGGCGCTGGAGGTGCTAGAGTTGGAGGTACTGGAGGTACTGGAGCTGCTGGTGCTGGAGGTGCTGGAGCTGGAGGTACTGGAGGTGCTGGAGGTGCTGGAGCTGCTGACGGTACGGGTGCTACGCCGCGCCGCCCGTTTTTCTACCCGCAGCCGCAGTCGTCCTTACCACCGTCTGGCTCTGCACTTCGTCAGGTTCTTAGTCTTCCGTCTTCCACTGGCCTTACTCCTCCCCTACTGTGTCCACCGCTTGACCCGTCTCAGACACAGCTACCGTCAGACTCCCCACTGCCTGCTCCTTCTCCTTACACTGAGCAGCCACACTCCCCGACAGAGCGCCGTGAGCCTGCGTCTCGTCCTGCCTCCCCTGTTTGCATTGTTCGTCGTGCTCGTCGTGCTCCTCGTCCTCTTCCTCCGCCAGTCCCCGTGACTCACATTACAGCACTTCGTCCTTCCTCTGTTCCACATCGTGTTGCCCTGCCGTCTCCTCCAGCGTCCTCTCTTCCTGACCTTCCTGACCCTCCGCCTGACCTTGCTCGTGCTGCTAGTCCTACTGTCACGCGTCTCCTGGCCACAGTTTTCACGGACCCTACTTTTGAGTCCACTGCTGCGTCTGCCTTAGTCGCTGAGCTTGTTGACTTTGTTGCTGCCTGTCGTCTAGACTGCTTCGCAAGTCTTGTCACGGAATCTGAGTCTGACTATCCTTCGTCCATCGAGGGTGAGTGTGCCATTGGCACGGACGTCCTTGAGGACACACGGTTTGAGCTCGAGTGTCTAGCGGCTGCTCTAGCGGTACAAACCCTGCGGGAGCCGGTGTTCGTGGCGAGGACCCTGGAGGTGCTAGCTCTAGCGGAGTTAGAGTTGGAGCTGAGAGCGTACCTGTGCGAGGTCCTGGTTCTGGGGGTGCTGGAGTTGGAGCTGAGCCCAAGCCTGCAGGAGCCTTTAGTCTTCGGGGAGTTGGTGTTGGTCGAGCTATCCCTGGGGGTGCTACGACTGGGGGTGCGCCCTCTGCTGGACCTGGAGAGCCTGGGACAAACCCATTTACTTCTGGTGGTGCTGGCTCTGGGGGTGGTGCGGCTGGTGCCTTGGAGGGTAGTCCTGGGGCTGCCCCTGCCCCGGACACTACTCCGCACCTGCACCCCTACCCGACTTGGCACCAGGCCCGTTTCCGCCGTGCACGTGAGGAGCAGCTGGAGTTGGAGAGAGAGGGCCTCAAGTTGGAGCGACAACTGCTGGAGCTACGGCAGCTGGAGTAGTAGCAGCATCCCCAGCAGCAGCATCCGCAGCCGGAGGAGCAACAGCAGCAACATAGAGGAGCAGCAGCAGCGGCAGCTGGAGGTGCAGCAGCCGCAGCAGCAGGAGCAGCAGCAGCCGCCGCCTCCTCCTCCTGTCTCTGGCCTTTGGACCCTCGGTCTCCCCTCTCCCTCTCCTCCCTCCTCCCCCTCTCCTCCCGTCTCTGGTCCTCCGCTTCCTCCTCCTGACCCCTCCCCAGCTGTTTTTCGTCGTTCTCAGCCTCGGTTGTACCCTCCTCTTTCTCACACTTGGGCTTCTCGCTCTCCTCGTGCTCGTCCCTCGTCCCCTGTTCCCGTCACTGACCTTCGTACTGCCCTGTTTCGTTCTAGTCCGCCTCGTTCGTCTCCTTCTGTACTTCCTTCTCCTCCTAAATCGGCCCTCACTGCTTCCCTCTCCACTCCTGTCATAGAGTAGTACCGCACGTACCATCCTGTTCTCTCTCGTGTTCTCGCCTCTCTTGTTACCGACCCTCGTGCTTCGCTGTCCTCTGTCTCCGCTCTTACTGCTGCAGTCACTGAGTTTGCCTCTACTCGCCGCCTTGACTATGCCACCAGTCTTATGGCAGCCCTAGAGGACAGGCAGTTTGAGCAAGCGTTCCTGGCAGCCGCTTCTCCTCATCTCTGTGCCATGCTGCTCACTCCTGAGGGAGACCCCGACGCCCTTGACATACCGACTCCTCGCACTTACGCTGAGGCAGTGTCAGGGCCTTGGGCCTCTCAGTGGAGAGCTGCCATGGACGTAGAGATGGCCTCCTACAGATCCACAGGCACCTACGTCGACGAGGTTCCCCCTCCTGGGGCAAACATAGTCGATGGCATGTGGATTTTCAGAGTGAAGCGGCCACCGAGATCTCCTCTGCTCTTCAAGGCGCGCTATATGGCTAGTGGTTTCAGTCAGCGCGAGGGAGTCGACTTCTTTCAGACCTTCGTGCCTACCCCGAAGATGACCACTCTTCGGGTGTTACTGCACGTAGCAGCACAGAGAGACTACGAGCTACACTCTCTTGACTTCTCCACTGCCTTCCTTCAGGGTAGCCTACACGAGGAGGAATGGTTGCGTCGTCCCTCTACCTTCACTGTGACCCAGTGCAGGCTTAGGCGACCAGTCTACGGTCCCCGTCAGGCTCCTCGTGAGTGGCACAACATCCTTCGTTCTACCTTGTCTGACCTCAGTTTCCAGCCGTCTTCTGCCGACCCGTCACTGTTCGTTCGTCGTGGCTCCACACCGTTCTTTGTACTGGTCTACGTTGACGACCTGGTTTTCGCCACTGCTGACAAGGTTGTTTTCGCTGACGTGAAGTTCGAACTGCGTGAGAGACACACGTGCACTGACCTTGGTGAGCTGCGCCACTACCTTGGCCTGCAGATCACCAGAGACAGAGCTGCTCGCACCATTACACTCTCACAGTCGCACATGGTGCAGCAGGTCCTTCAGCGGTTCGAGCTTCAGCACTCCACAGTATAGCGCACACCTCTTGCTGTTGACCACAGACTCACTGGACCCTTTCTTGACGAGCCGTTTGAGCCTAGTGGTCCTTACGCAGAGCTTGTGGGCTGCCTCATGTACCTGATGACTTGTACTCGCCCGGACCTCGCCTTCCCTCTCAGCATCCTTGCTCGCTTTGTTGCGCCAGGGAGGCACCGTCCTCTTCACTGGACGGCATATGTGAGGGTGGCGAAGTACCTAGCGACGACATTAGGCGTGGGGCTGGTTCTTGGAGGGAAACCGTTTGTCGTACTTACTGGTCACTGTGACTCTTCTTACGCTGACGACGTCGAGACTCACAGGTCTACTCAGGGGTACTGCTTCAGCCTGGGCTCTGGAGCTGTTTCGTGGAGGTCCATGCGTTCATCCTCGGTCTCGACCTTTACCGCTGAGGCTGAGATCTACGCTGGTGCCATGGCGGCACAGGAGCTGCGCTGGTTGACCTTCTTGCTCACTGACCTTGGTGAGCGGCCGAGCTCTACACCGACCTTGTTTACTGACAACAAGGTGTCAATTCTCCTCTGTCGAGAGCCGCGACTGGAGAGCAGAGTGAAGTAGATTAACGCTAGAAACTTTCTTCTGCGAGAGTTGCAGAGGCGTGGACAGGCTCGCTTCGAGTTTGTGGAGTCCGAGGCCAACACTGCAGACATCTTCACCAAGACGCTTCCGCCTTGTGACCACCAGAGGTGTTGTGTGCAGTTAGGTCTCGTTGACACATGTTCTCGTCTTGCGTAGAATTGGGTTCTCTACTTACTTTGTTTGTACACTTTGCTTATACCTCTCTGAACTCTTGAACTTGCTAGGGCTTAGACTGTGTGATGACGTTGTGATCCGCCCTGAGCTTTGTTGCTTTGTGACTAGTCTTCTGACCGTATTGTTTTGGTTTTGCTTGACACCCCTCACTTAGGCTATGGGGGTGGGTCATATGTTGTAGCTCTTAGTGATGTGTATCATATGGGGTAAAGAAGTTAGGGTTAGGTTTATGTACCCCAACCAACCTAAGTTAATGCATCATTCCGTTCTTGACAGATGAGTGTGAGCTGGGTTGGTGGCATGGAGGTGGGTGGATGAGTGCGAGCTGGGTTGATGGCAGGGAGGTGGGTGGATGAGTGCGAGCTGGGTTGATGGCAGGGAGGGGGTGTCAGAACTAGAGCTTAGAATCCATGCATTAGTAATGAGCTTGAAGCTCTTTAAGTACATCTAGGATGGGCAAGCAATGGATGGGGAAGAGAATCGGGGCAATCTCTAGGGAATGGGGGTAATCCCAAGGCAATCTCCAATTGGTGGGTTGGAGATTGCTTGGAGATCACATTTGGGTTTGGTTGGGATGTGGATCTACACCCAACCAAACACAAAGTGCAAACTACACTACGCTAGGATATAGAAAGTACAAAATACAAAGTGTGAGATTGAGGGCTAACACTAACACCCCCCCATAGACGTCAATCGAACTTAAGGCAGATAAGGTGGAGCACAGAGCCCCATGGCGCCAAGTAGGCGGTGGTGAGGGACTTTCCAAAGGGATTTGGTGAACAGATCAGCCAAGTTGCAGTCATATGCAACGTACTCCACGTTTAGCTGCTCCCGCTGGACAAGGTTACGGATGAAGAAGTGCCAAAGTTCGATGTGCTTGGTGCGGGTGTGATACACAGGATCCTGGGAGAGGTGGATGGTGCTCTTGTTGTCACACCAGAGGGTGGGGGTGGACTGAGGGTAGCCAAGCTCCTGGAGGAGGAGGGTGAGCCAACGGGCCTCTCGAGCCGCCATGGTGCCAGCGTAGAGATCTGCCTCACAGGAGGAGAGGGAGACTGCGGACGATTTGGTGGAGCGCCAGCTGAAAATTCCGCTCCCAAGGGTGAAGCAGTACCCCTGAGAGGAGCGTCGGTCGGTCTGGTCATCAGCCCAGGAGGAGTCGGTGTAACCTTCCAGTCGAGGAGGGGAGAGCCCACCAAGTGTGAGCACATGAGACTTGGTGCCCTGCAAATAACGCAGTACCCGCTTTGCAGCCTTCTTATGAAGATCAGTGAAGGGTCCAAGGGCCACATAGCGAGAGAGGACACTGACAGGGTATGCCAGGTAAGGCCGGGTGCACATCATGGCGTACATGAGGGACCCAACCAGTTCCGGGTATGGCGTAGAGCAGGCCTCTGGTGTAGGTACAGTTGGAGCTGTGAGGAGGTGTTGTAGCGGTTGCGGGGTGGCAACAGGTGTGCACAACTCCATCTCAAACCGCTTGAGCACATTGTTGATGTAGAACTCCTGGGAGAGTGAGATGGTGCGCGCCTGACGATCACGAGTGATCCCCATCCCCAGGTACTGCTTAAGGTCGCCTGAACAGAGGTCATCTGGACCGAGTCCTTGGCTACGAGGATGAAGTCATTGACGTAAACAAGGGATGTAGAATGGCTCAGAGTGACGGCAAGTGAAGAGAGTCGGGTCAGCAGATGATGGGTGGAAGTCCAATGTGAGAAGGACTTCTTTCACTTTGTTGTGCCATTCACGAAGGGCTTGCTTGAGACTGTAAACAGGGCGATTCAGGCTCTAGACATTGTTAGGAGGGAACTCTCCTGGAAAGCCTTCAGGTCGATCCATGAACACTATCTCCTTGAGGTGTCCTTGCAGGAAGGCCGATGAGGCGTCCATGGATTTGATCTCGAAGTCTTCTTGTGCTGCTACATCTAAGAGCGTGCGAACACTGGGTGATTTGGATGTGGGGGAGAATATCTTGAAGAAGTCAAAGTACTGCTGCTGAGTGAATTCCTTGGCCACATAGCGCGCTTTAAACACTGGGGCCTTGTCAAGAAGCTGTTTCATTCGAAACAGCCGTTTGCCCCCGACGATGTTAACTCCCGGAGGTGAAGTTTCGTCGTCGAAAGAGTGGTTGCGAGTGAAGGCTTTGCGGAGATAACTCGTACAACGGGAGCTAGTCTACGGGGCTAGCACGGGGTAGGAGTGATCGTAGCGTTCGTTCCTTAGTCGTTCACTTGTGCTCTCACTACTTGCTTGTTCACGGGGGAATTTGGCAAGAGTTTCACTAGCAAAAGTTCACAACAATGAGGTTCGGAATGATAGTAACAACATTGGCAAGGTTGACTACATCAGAGCTAGCAAGCATGGATGTCGACTGCCAGCACAGCACGGTCGACCGCGTTCCAACACGAAATGGTCGACCGCGCTCCAGCAGTGCAAAGTCGCGGCCTGCCAACGCTGCAAGTCGACGGCGTGCCAACGCTACAGCGAGGCGGCTGCATAGCGTTGCACACGCAGGACAGGAGCGCACCCGCTTCACAGGTGCACGCAGATGATTGCGTGCTGTGCCGTGAGACCCGCACAGCGCAGAGCACCAGGTCGTCCACGTGCTATCAACTGCACCTGATTAGCCACGTCGACCTCGGGATACCACCACCGAGGTCAGCTTCGCCAGAACCACCTGGGCGATGATCGCGCACCTCCGCAGATCCCCGTCGCTCGAGTAACCTGGTCGACCAGGCAACCACCAAGTCGGCGTCAGCTTGTGTGGCCAGTGTCGACCAGCTGTTGTACGCGCCCGTCGACCACCCAGGTCGACGTCCTCTAGCCGACTTCACAAAGCCAAGCGAGGACGGGGCCAACACACAACTCCCGTTGACACTCCCCTGCCGCGTTCACGCTTGGGCATCCACCCCACACGGCATCACTAATTGTAGAATAGCTCGTCGTCGTCAGCGTGCACACAACACACAGCACGCCGATCACCGCACCAGCCATGCAAGAGGGCATGGCACCTACTGCTGCACGTCGTCATCACCATCGCCGACGTTGGCCAGGCGCCCTTGGCCGATTGCGACGGAGCACCGGTTGAAGGCCGGAAAGTGCAGCGCCTTTGTCAGGAAGTCTACCGGCTGCTCGGTGGTCGGGATATACCTCAGCAAGAACTTCCCGCGCTTCACCATGTGCTGCAGCCAGGCGTATCGCCTCTCCATGTGCTTGAGGTTGCCCTGCAGCCCCAAGCCCTCGGCGACCGTGATGGCCGACTTGTTGTCCACCTGAAGGACAGTCGGCGTCTCGGCGTCCAGTAGCCAGAACTCTGCAAGGAGGAAACGAAGTCGGCGTCCCTCCTTGCCGGCTTCCATGGCCGCGACGTACTCCGACTCGGTCGACGACAACGTCGTGCATAAGACAAACATGTAGCTCCCCGTGCTCGTCCGTTTCTGCTTGTTGTTGGCGTCGTCGGCGTCGACGTAGCCGACCAGCTCCAGCGTTCCTGGTCCACCGCCGAACTCCAGGGCGGTATCACGAGTGTTGCCGAGGTAGGTAAGACAACGATCAACCTCGCGCCAGTGCTGGTCGCTCCTCACTGTGAGGCCGCTCCCCAGCTTGCTGCAGGCGAAGGCGATGTCCGGCCTCGTCGTCGTCGCCGCGAACTGCAACGAGCCGACCTTCTGCCGGTACTCCTCGTCGTCGAATGTCAGCTCGGCGTAGGCGTCGACCGAGACTGGCGTCTTCAAGGTACGCCCGGTCTGCGCCCGTCCTGCGCAGCTTGTCGGCGTAGTTCTGCTGGTGCAGCCACAAATTCCTCGCTGACCTGTCACGCACAATCTCCAGCCCGAGGTACTTCTCCACTGGACGAAGGCGGCCTTCAGCAGCTCCTTCAGCTCCTTTAGCATCGCGGTGCTGCTGCTGGCGGCGAGGAGGTCGTCGACGTAGACCAGCACCCTGTAGGCCACTTCGTCGGCACCGACCTTGAAGTAGAGAGCCTCGTCGACCTGGCTCTTCTTCCAGCGCTGACCAGCACATCATTGAGCGCCTTGTACCACAACAGCGGCGACTGCTTCAGCCCGTAAAGGCTCTTCAGCAGCTTGCACACCCGGCCGGTCCCATCGTTGAAGTAGTCCGGCTGGTACATGTACAGCACCCGGTCAAGCTTGCTCTGCAGGAAGGCGTTCTTCATGTCGAGCTGCATCAGGTTGAGGTCGAGGACGGCGACGATGCTGAGGAAGATCCTCATCGTAACGTAGCTGCTCACCGGCGCATACGACTTGTCGTAGTCTGCGCCATACACCTGCATGAAGCCCTTCACGACCAGCCTCGCCTGCATGCACTCGACGGTGTCGTCGATGCGATAATTCGTCGTCAGCACCCACCAGTTCTTCATGATGTTCACCCCCGATGGGCGTTCGACTACCTCGCACGTCCTCATGCTGATGAGGCTGCGGATCTCCTCCTCCATGGCAGCCTTCACCGCCTTGCCCTTCCAGCTCGCCAACGCCTCCTACACAATCATCTTGGCGATGTCCCAACGGCGCTCGGGGTCGGCGTGCATGTCGGGGTCGAGCTCCGGCAGGTCTTCATCCTCCTCGGCGTCGTCGTACGCCAGGTCGTCGTCGTCGATGTCATACACCGTGGTGAAGGCAGCCGGGACGAAGAAGTCGGGAGGCCTCCGAATCCAGCTTGTACGCCGTGGCCCGGGCTGGACCTCCACCACATCGCTATTGGTGAACTCCTCGGCTCCTGACTGCTCCCCTTCGTCGTCGTCGGCTTCACTGCCCTCAGCGTCCTGCTGCACCTCGGTCGGCGTCCCTGCCGACTTCTCTTCTGCAGTCGGCTCCAACGCAGACTGTCCGGTCGCCGACTGCTCCGTGGTCGGCTTCACTGTTGGCTGTTCCCCTGTTAGCGACTTCCTTCCCGTCGCCTCCTTTACCGGCTCCACCTCCTTTGCCTGCTGCTCCCTGGTCGGCGTCGACTTCTTTCCCGTGCCGACTTGCGCGATGTCACGTCGGCCACCGGCGATGCCTTTGGTCGGCGCCACAAGCGACGCCCCACTGCTCCCCTCATCGCCGCTGGCCGACGTCATGGTCGGCACACACAGGTCGGCGATAAGGGGTAGGGCAGGAGGTGCAGGGAAAGGGGAAGGAGGACGGATGTCCTCATCAGCGAGCTCACCGACCTCGGCGAGCAAAAGGGAGGGTCGCCGTGGAGGTGTCCGTCGGCGAGATCGCCTGCGTCCGCCCCGACGCCGGCCCGTGCTCCGACTTCCACACCTCCAGCGACATCGTCTCGTAGAACACCACGTCCGACGTGGTGACCACCTTGTTGTCGGTGATGTCGAGGAGCTCCCAGCCTTTGCTCTCCTCCGACACGCCGAGGTGAAGGCCCCACCTGGCCTTTGGTTGCAGCTTCCAACCGCGCTGCTGCTCGGGGACCATGAACTGCACCATGCAGCCCCACACGCGTGCCAGCGACAAGTCGGGCTTCTTCCCGGTGAGCAGCTGGCGCGGCATTGTCCCCGGCGGTAGCGTCGACCTCTCCAAGCAGTTGCGGACCCAGTCGGCCCGATGCAGGGCGAGGTGCCACCAGTGGTGCTGCACGCCCACGTGTAGTAGCATCGTCCGCACCGACTCCACCACCGTCCGCATCTCCCGCTCCGCCATGCCATTCTGCTGCGGTGTGTAGGGGCAGGTCAAGTCGTGGACGATCCCCTTGCCGTCCACGAAGTCGGTGAACTGCTTCCCGAGGAACTCCCCTCCCCGGTCAGAGTGCACCATCAGCACCGACTTCTTAGCCTGCCGCTCAGCTACCGCCATCCACTTCTCGAACTCCCGCAGCACGTCCGACTTCTTGGCGACCGGCCTCACCCACACGTAGCAGGTCTTGTGGTCCTTCAGCAGCAAGAAGTAGTGGCTGCCATCCTTGGCGGCCACCCGGAACGGCCCGCACAGGTCGATGTGCACAACAACGAGGGCGTCGTCGGCGTCGGAGCCCTTGTCGGGGAAGGTGTGTCGCGCCAGCTTCCCGCCGACGCACGAGACACACGGAGAGTCGGTGCCGGCCGACGGCTTGATGTCCAGGCCGGTGGCGACCTCATGCTTCGCTGAGCTCGAGATGATGTCGACGCCGACATGGGCAAGTCTCGCATGCCACCTGGCCGGCGTCGACTTCGTCGCCGGGACTATCGCCCGTAGAGCCACCACCTCCGTTGGCGCCGACGCCGACTTCGTCAAGCTCGCCGTGCAGTGCTGAAGGACGGTGCAAAGGACTCGGCCGGTATACGTCGCTCGACCAAGGACGTCCCCCGCCGCCGAAACGAGCAGCATCCTGTCACCGTTGTCGTGCAGCTTCACGCCGCTCTCCTTCAGCTGCCCTGCCGAGAGCAGGTTCGCCTACACGCCCGGAACGTAGAGCACGTCGGGGATGAGCACCTGCTTTCCGGTTGCTCCTTGCAGGGCGACAGTGCCTCGGCCTTGGACGTCCTGCAGCGCCCCATTGAAGCCGCGCACGTGTTTAACGTCGCCGCTCGGCTGCAAGTCGACGAAGGCTGCCTTCGTCCC